CGCAGGCCATGGTGGTGACTGGGACCGAGCATTCCATTCAGGGATTACAGGACAGACCACAATGGCCCCGTAAGAAAGGGAGAAGACACAATGAGTTCAAATTCTTTTGTGGGAATGTTTGTATCTGTGCCAATGAAGGCCCTTGATTTATGGTGGTCTATTTTTTCCATCAGTGTGCCCCATCAACCCTCTCCCAGAAGCCTCTTACCACTTTCAGGAAGAGGAATGTGCGTGCTTCAGAAGCAGAATTGATTAGCCAGGGATCACAAGTAAGGTCAGGGTCACTGAAAGACTCAGGGGAGCTCTAAATCGGGCTGCAGAGGAGGCTACTCTGCGTGCTGCATTCAATACGCAGGAGGCTCAGCTGCCGTCTGGTTCAAGCCTGGTTTGCAGAGACGGTCCTGCAGCAGTGACCAGGGGACCCAAGACAATGACCAGTGCTCTGATTCTGTACACACGGAAGCAGAAGAGTCGGGCTGCTAGGTTCTCGGCTGCTGGCTCCACAGGCCAGGACCAGAGGAGTATTTGGCTGGCAACAGACCCAGCTCCCAGGAAAGACAGGTGTCATGCAGAGAGGACACAGAGGCTAATGTTTTCGGGGTGCCGTCATGCACCTTGGGATCCCCAGGGAATCACAGGGAAACCATTCCAACTGGCTGAACTGGTTCCTACAGAGGGGTGGTTGACATCCTCACTTTGGGACAAACGAGTCTCTTCTGCCCCCAGGATTCTCAGTCCCCATCCTGAATTCATAGCCAGCCAACCACAGGAACACACCTAAGCTGGTTAAGCCTTTGCACTTTCCAGAGAGCGAATCTGGGGCTGGCTAAGTTGCAGGTCCACGAGTGCAAAGAGCTCAGCTCCCTGCCAACAAACGGCAACAGTGCACTATTAGTGTTATCTTTGTCATCGCTGTTGCCCACACCTGGCCCTTGGGGCGTCCGTGTCTGGTCACAAGGAGCCCCCCTGAGGGGTGCTGTAATTGTGCCTCTACCCTCATCATCCCAAGAAGGGAGGTCCTGAGTAGGAGACACAGGATTGTTGCGTACCTTCAGAAACTAAGATCATTGTAACGTCAACATCTAATATTCAGGGCTTGATGGGCACTAAGCTTCAGGAGAAGCACTTTACCCTGCATTTAATCCTCTCTGCAGGCCCGTGTCCTTTATTCTAATTGGAGAAGGGAGGAAACGGAGGCCTGGGGAGGTGGACTAACTTGCCCTGGGACGCACCTAGTGAGAGCAGAAGCCAGAATTTGGGGGGCCCGGGCAGCCTGACTCCAGAGTCCACTCCACTAGACTGTCCCTTAAGATGGGAAGCAGAGCAGTACCCAAAGCAACCCGCTCTAACACTTCCCCCTCCAAGCCCGCTGCGGAGCAAAGAGAAGGTGGCATGTGAGGGTCAGGCTCCGAAGCTATTTCTGTTTTGAGAGTCATTAAGAACATCACGAGAGCCCTTGTGACCCCACGCCCGGTTCACTCATCGAGTGGCTTGTTCTTGTAGCGAGTGCCCATGAGCAACTCCGGCAAGCCCATGATGGCCCAGGTGATGCCAGCATCTCCAGGACATGGCCTCATCCGCTGGCGGGGCACGGGAAGCCCGACAAGGCTGGGGGTTGTGTCATTATGCAGAAACGGACCGAATGAATACAAAATGAAGGAAACTATTCCACAGAAGCAGAAGATGAAAATAGGCCCTCAAAAAAAAAAAAAGCACCTGTAGGCAACAATGCGTATCCCATCATCTCATCTATATTTTCATGTTGCAAAAATAACGAGACGTTAGCAGTTTCAGGATTAGTGTTCCTACTCTATTTCCCTCGACAAGAAACAGGATCTGCTCTGCATTAGAATTATAGCAAGAACTGGCCCTTAGCAGGAACCATATGATTTTAATGCACAGATGAATTTCAATTCGACATTTACCTAAACATGCTCATGTGTTTTAAATTTCACCCTAAATTATAGACTTTTCAAATAACTCTGCTCTTCCCTCTGCTTCTCTCTCTCCAATTTTGGTTTGGTTTTGTGAAAGGTCTGCTGGTAAAAATGAAGCAATACCAGTAACTTATCTACAAATTACGGGAAGGAGAAAGTAGGTTAAAAAAGATCAAGAAGCTTAAAACAAGCATGATCAAACCACATCCGAGTTAGGCAGGAAACAATAGGAGACCGTTCTTGCTCAGAGGGAAAGAAGGTGAATCTTACCAGGACTACTGTCAAACATGTCATAAACGGGGTTCACCTCCACTCTGCCCAAGTTTCAAGTGCAGTCATCGGAACACAACAAAGTTCGATTCTGCGCCCAGGGAAAGGCGATAGCCGGAAGCAGAAAGCTAACACTTTCACTTGGGCTGGCAATTCCTTTCATGCTCAAAACAATCTCATTTTTGGTTCAGGCGTCCACTGCGGCGAGCTGTTGTGTGCCTATCACAATGGAGGTAGGAGACTCATCCCCAAAGGAGGCGGGCGAGAGAAAGAACACATCTCCTAAATGCTCCCTCTCATTAGAGGGTTCGACCAAAGTGGGTATCCCAAGCTGAGCGGTCACCAGGAACTTTGTGCAATCTGCTTTTGCTCAAATTGCAAACCCCAAGCATTGAGACCAGTATCCCGCTGTGACAGGGTACCAGAGTTTTGCAAGATGTGACCCCTGGGGGATGACCAGGGCAAGGGTATGATTATTTCTCACAACTGCATGCCCATCAGTCGCAATGAAAAACCCTCCAAACCCCAGCACCCCAAAGATCTCTGCGTCATCTCTCTGAACACCACGTCGGACTTTGGCACCAGATGTCTTACAGGAAGACGTTCTGGGACAAAGCCTGAGTGGCGACCAAAGAAAGTCCAAAGGGATTCAGCACATCCCAGCTTGCTACCAATGTTAATGCCGTACGGGTCTGCAGGGGCGGCGTGGGGAGTGGGCCCGTCCGATGGCAAACACATGCCTCATCTGATGGTGGGGGTTGCAGCGGAGAAGCTTACTGCAGAAACACGTGTGTAATGGGGACCAGGCCTGCTGACTGTTCAACGCAATCCCGAAATCTGCATTGTTACGTGGAACTTCCTAAATGTTAGAGTTGGTCGTTCATAAAATTTTCTTTTAAATACTCCGAACGCCAAACCAAACAGCTCTGAGGGCTGGGCTGGATCCATCAGGTACACTTCCGATATAGTTCCCTCCCGTCCTCACCGACGGCCCTTCGGGGTAAGGACCAGCCCTCCCTGCTTTCTAAATGGGGTGAAACACTGTGTTTGAAGGGAGCCGCGGGCAAGCCCTCAGCAGCTCTGCCCGGAAGGCCCCGGGGACTCCGCGGAATCAGCGCAGCACCACGGGCAGTCAGTCAGCAAGCCGGAGGTTAAGAAAGGTGCAGAGAAACATCTCTGGCTCCATGAACACCAAGTCAGTTAGTTCCACGTTTTCGCTATGGTGTCCTGGCACGAGCCCTGAGGGGAGTCCTTCCCAGTTCAATACTCATCACCCCTGTCACCCCTAGGTTCCGCATCCTCTTGCCAAAAGCGACTCCTTCCCTTTAGAGCACTTGTAAGACTGGAGAGAGTGCATTTCTTGGTCTATCTGAGCAACATCGGTCTCTCCCACTGGACTCTAAAGCTCCAACAAGACAGACTATTTAGGATGTCCGCAGTGCTAACAGGGTGCCTGATCCAAAGAAAGGGCTTAATAAACGCTCGTTGAATGAATCAAAGGAGGGATAGGCCAGACAGGGGCCATGAAAGGGCCCCATTCAATTCAGCTGAACTAGTGCCACCACCAACAAGGACAGAAAGTTTCTGGGAACATTTTCAGAGGCTCTGTGACTCCCTTAAACAGCAAAATGGCCCGGCCGAGGCGCCGCACACCAGAAAAACCAGCACGGCAGGGACTCTCGTCACTGCACTCTGGGCGTTCCCGGCGTTTCAGGCTATGGGACCACAATCCACCGGCCTCCTAGCTCAGGTATGGCAACAGAGTCAACTGCCCAAGGGCAAACCTAGCCCTGTTACCTTTGTGCCTACTGCCCGAGAAACCAGTTGAAGATACACAGTGCTCACGAAACTGCCTTTTTGTGAAATACTGTGCTCGTCTCAGATACACAGGCCAAATCCCAGCTGCAACAGATATGGGGAGACAAGGTGCCTGCCAGAGGTGCTTAAAGCTGCTTCAAGGAGAGGGAACAAGGAGCAACACAAGGGCATTCCAGGGTGCAGGTATGGAAAAGGCACAGGGACAAGGGGCGTGCTGGGGAAAAAGCAAGCTGAACCAGTACCGAGGAACCCTGGAGCTCAGGACATAGGAGCAAGATGGTAGGAAGGAAGACAGGCAAGTACACACGGGCCACGCTAGGAAAACCCTGGAAGAAATCGTGATACCGATCTCGGGAGTCTTCCTTTAGCAGAGCACAAAATGCACCAATACACACAAACCACAGACGTGCTCTGTTTAGGCCACAGCTGGGAATGATCGTTTAAAACGTGGGAGTGTCTGCATCCAAACGCAGATTTCCAGCTTCTTTGGAATCATGAGGAAAGCAGGCACTGCTGCATCCATATTCCTACCGAACTGCAGGTAGAGCTGGAACAGCAGCTGCTGACTAAGGACGTATATGCTCTCCAATCTGCCCCAGTCCCCACCCTCCCCTACTGCTCTCTCGTATCACGCATAGGTGTTCTCTGTCCAGTCTCTGTAGGTATTTGTGTCTTAGAAAAGGTACCCTCTCATTCCATCCCAGTAACAGCGTCTCACAGATACATAACTGTGGGCCCAGAGCAGTACGATTTCCTGTCCAACAACATGTGATAATCAGTTCCACAACCCAAGTTTTCCTGGGTACACATTTAAAGACTGATTAGGTTCCTTGAATCCACGACTAGCTTACACATCATCACTGCCACAGAGGCAGAAGGTTGGTTTCTGGTTTTAGAGAAACACACGGGTGAGCAAAATGGGCAGCGGCTTCTTATCAAGGTCTAGGAACAGTCCCGACGCTAACGACTTACACAACTTCTCTGAACATCCTGTTCGGTCTTAGCGTACATCTCAGACAGATCACCATTCAGAATGACGTCAGCTAAAGAGTTCACCAAGGGTGCGTGATGTATAATTAGGAAGACCTGGTGAGAAAGGAGACATGGGATTTGCATTAAAGCCTGCGCCCTATCTACCTGGATCAGAAACAACTAGGTTGGGCTACTCCATCCCTGTGTTAAGCAGCATTCCCCATGAAGCAAAATCCAAAGAATGGGGCCCATTTAGGCAAAAGCAGCCAGGCCTCTCTTCTTCCAGGGTCGGCCCCTCCTTCGTTCGGACTGTTGCCTATTTGGCTGGCTGCTCCCCAGCGGAAGGAAGTGCATTAAAGCAAGACTGTCCCTCACGGCCGGGGGAAGCCAAATCCGGCTGAAGCGGAGCAATGTGGGAAAGCAGCAGCCAAACCAGCACACTCCTTCCTCTCCACAGGCATTTTAGTGTCAAATTTGATTACGCTAAGACTGGAAGGCACCGGCCCAACATTTCAGTTATACGGGAAGAAGGGGCCAGCAAGTCTTGCTCCAATCAAGGACTTGGCAAAGGGTCGGCTGCCCAGAGATCCCATCACTGGAATGAGCTCCGACCCCTGAGATGCCATGGCAGCGTTGGTAGGTGTGGACGCTGCGGGGAAGGAAGGCCACATGAGCCAGAGTTGGGCCTAGTTGTGCCAGCAGGCAAAATCAGCAGGGGCGGGGCTGTCTGGGATGGCCCTACTACCCCACCCTATTGCCTAACCTTCAGCAGATAGGCTTTGGGAATTGGGGTACTCGAAGCTGGCTCAGACACACCTGCTACTTTGTTTTAAAATACAAAGACCACACCAGTGGCGCAGCACAGCTTGGGACATACCCACCATTTATACAGAAAAAGGGTGTGTGTGCACATTTGCATCTGCTTACATACACACGGAACAGGATTTCTAAACCCCGGCACTAGTATCCGGCCATATTCTTTGTTCCAGGGGCGGGGGGGGGGGGGGGTGCAGGGGGGGCTGTCCAGAGCATTGGAGGATGTTTGGCAACCTCTCTGGCCTCTTCCCAACCAGAAATGTCTCCAGATGTTGCCAAACATCCCTGGGGTGGAGGAGGCAAAATCGCCCCCAGTTGAGAACCTCCCCGCCTCCACAGGCAATGTCTCTGGAAGGGCACAGGAAAACCCTGTAACTGTACTTGTCCCTGGGGACAGAAATCAGAAGCAAAAGTAGGAAGGAAACTCGGTTTTCACCTGTTTGAACTTTTTAACTTAAAGAATTTATTACAAACATAAACATTGTTAGAAAGAGAAAGAAGGAAAGAGGAAAAAGGATAAGAAAGAAAGAAAGACAGACAGAGACAGACGGAGGGAGAGAAAGCCTTGCCAGACACTGAAACGCTGCTGCAACTGCGGAATGGGACCGGGTGCCTGGGGGACAGGAGTAAGAGGGAGACTTCTCCAAGGACAGCGTTCCCGGTCACACACACTAAATTAACATGGTAAATGTGAATTTTCTTGGTTTTGTAGCTGTACTTATCAAATAATTTGTAAGGATGCTCTGACGTAGAGACCAAAGACATGAGATTTCTACCTGAATTCAAGGTTTTCACACATTTGGGGGCATCACTATGAAAAAGCTAACTGAAAATGCAGGGGAGGGTGGGCCCTGTCACTTCAGCTGAGGGTGCTGAATCGCACATTCTGCTTTTTGTGAGCTACTGCACAAGTCATCCGGTGCGTGAGCCGCTAGGCCTTCTGCAAGGATACAGGAGCAAGGGGCTTCGCAGAGAAAGGGCGTGGCCTGAGCCCACGCTCCTCAGACGAGACGCTGCCCGCGCAGCGCCCCAACAGCTACAGGGTCCTGGGAGTGTTCTCCTCGGGATTCCTGTGGCCGCGCATCTGGCTGCCCAGACTCCCAGAATCCCAAGCAGGAGGTTTGGGCAGATCTGTAACGAGGCGGCGGACAAGGGTGCCAGGGAAGCTGGGGTTTGTGCTGCGCTTGGCCACACAGAGGGGCATTCAGAAGAAGTGGGCATCAATGCAGAGCTCCGGGCAGACAGAGCCCCCGGGACGAGACTCCAAGGGGGAGCAAGCCGTGGACCCCGGCTGGCTTAGGCAGCACGGAGAGACCAGGGCTGCGTCTCTTCTCGGCCCTCCCTCTGTCTCCAAATGGCCCAGGGACCAAGCCAGAAGGCCATTCTCTCGGCAAAGCCAGCGGGCCGCTGTAGAAGTGGGAACAGAGCTCTGGTCAAACGTTCGACTACTTGACAGTCTAATGAGATGGCCCAAAAGTCTGGACGGCTTGTAATAAAAATATTTTTCAAGTTATGTAACTGGGTCACCATGGAGTTTTTCCCTTCTTGTAAATATTACATAATTATAAGAAGGAAACACGCTTGTTTAAGGAGGGGGAGCAGAAAAATTGGCTCAAGACGCAAATCTGGGAATGGAGGCTGCTAGAAGGTACCTTCCAGAAGGTAATCTGGGAACTGCAACCATGACAAAAGTCTTTAAAAACAGCCTCATAGTGGAAGTTTCTTAGAGCAAGGCTGCCGCAGGGATACACACACCAGGTCTTACGGTCGGGGGCTTATTTCAAAATGCCGTGAATAAGACCCACGCTGTCCACATTTCCAGGGTATTTAGAACACTCCTTGGTTGTTTGAAAACCTCAGTCCCCACAGTAAAAACCAAGCATGCAAGGGCCAGGTTTGATTCACTTTCCATCTTTCTTCCAATTTCCACCCACTACCACGAAGAAGATACCAGCCCCGCTACTGAGTGTCTGGAAAATAGAACCCCCCCCACCCGCCTTCTCCTTATTGTTGTTTTACTTCAAGATGGGGGACACAGAAGGAAGATGGGGTGATGTGGCCTGGTCCTCCGAAAGACCCCCCAGCGTGGCTGGGGACACACACAGAGGAATAACCATACCTGCGACAGGAGATAGAGAGAAACCGGCAGGCTGATCTTCGGGCGTTCTCCTCCCTGGGGAGGGTTAGGGGAAAGAGACAGAGAGAAGTCCACGTCACACACACGAGCAGCACGAAACACAGGAAGCTAAAAGCTACCTGTCTGAAGGCGAGGCACCCTGTCCCCGACATCCCCCACGCCCCCACGGCTATTCTTTCCTGGTACTTGTGAGAAGGCCACTCACAAAATAAATTCGCAATCTAAGCCCATCTAATACCATCTCTCCCGGCCTCTGTTTTTCCACCTGAGAAATCGTTCAGCATTAGTCACGGATTAGAGGCTGAGTCCAAGAGATGAACTAGCTCCTTAAATTACCAGGAATGAGAATGTCCCCCGGCTGCAGCACAGAGCCTGGCGCTCCGCGGAGAGGCCTCTTCTCAGGAAGAGCTTTCAAAATGGGCAAAGAGGGCTTGGGGTACTCTGCCCACAGAAAGGCCCCTGGTGTGCAGGCAACCCCAGCATGCTCCATCCTGTGTCAACCCCGCGAGGGTCTTCAGGGCCCTGCTTTGGTTCAGGCAGGTTAGCTCCCTTGGCCGAGGCCACAGAGGGAGGAAAGGGAAGAAGCAGCATCTACACCCAGGTCTGAAATCTCCAAGTTCCATGCTTTCCCTCTGCCTCCCAGAGCTGCCTCTGGCAGATCTAGTTAGAGCTGCAATTTTCTCCTATTTACTGGTTTTTAGAAAGAATCTCCATGTTCCATCTCCAAAAACAAAGCTACAAACCCCTGGGGCACATTTGCAGAGACTGGTCCCCCCCCACCATTCCCCCGCCCCCGCACAATAGCCAACAGGCCCTGTCCTGCCTCCTGCTGAGGTCTCTGCCCCGTAACCCTGGGAAGGACTGGGCAGAAATTCTCACAGTGGGATCTGAGAATGGCCAGCTCAGAGCCACCTGGGGGACAGGTTAAAGTTGCAGACTGGTGGTCCACGACAGAGCCACTGAGCCAAAATCCCTGAGACAGAGAGCAGGCCCCCAAGGATGTGCATTTCAACCTCCACACGGGATTCTGAGCCTAACTGTGGACAGTCGCTGCTCTGGGATCTTTTCCGAAGTGCAGCCCCTCCCTTCCCATCCATTCTGTGCAAGTCCTGTGGCCGCCAGGACCTTCTGTAGATCAGTTCACTCTGGTGACTATCAGAATCACCGGGAATGAGAATACCTCAAGTGAAGGATGCAGAGAAACCAAAATCCTAAATTCATAGAGGTTTCCAGTTTCCTTCTGGTGTCAATGTTCTCTCCTCATTCACTTTCACTGCTCCGCTCCCCTGCACGCGCATTTCCTCCTAAGCTTCCCTCTCTCCACCTCCCCCTCCACCCCCAGGACGTAAAAGGAAAGAAAAACCAGTGCACTCTGAAAGGCATCTCAGGCTCAAAGCCTTGGTCCCTTAGCAAAGCTTGGTTCTCTTCAAGGGGACCGTTCCTCCCCGTCTGAAGTCAGCCAGCAGCCCGCAGGCACGGTGGGGACCAGGCGCCCAGACGCACCGTGTCCTGGTTCTCCAGCGAGTACACGTAGAGGGGCAGGAAGAGCCTGTTCAGCAGATGGTCCGTGAGCACGTCATTGAGGAACTCGCAGTTGATGATCAGGATGTCGTTGAGATAGTGCAGGTGGTCCAGGTGCTCGGCCACCAGGTCACTCAGCTTCCCCCGGTTCCGGTGTCTGCCAAGAAGAAGGACAGCCCTTAGCCTGGAAGCCAAAGCACAGAGCCTTTGGGCCTTGCCCTGGGACTTAGGTCAGTGGGAGCGTTTCATTCGCACCACAAATATTCACCCAGCAAACCGGCTCGAGGGACCCTTACGCTGGCCCCACTGGTGGTATACATAAAGGGAAAACGGGCAGGTAGACTGTAATCGACTGCAGGGGACTCCTGGAGTCCCCCCACCCTCTGGGGTGGGGCACACAACAACTCACTCACCACCACCACAACAACCCAAAACAAAATGGGTAAGTAAAGCAAAACCCAGCTGCCTGAGCAAGCCATTCCACAAGAGTGACCACTAGTCAATGTGGCAAGATCCCACGCCTCCCAAGATAAGGAGTATTAATGGAGCAATAAATCCTCGCTATTAAAATGCTCCAGAGGGCTTCCAAAGAGAAAAGCAGGCCTCAGCTACCACATCCAACCCCCTGACCCCAAGCCTATGGCAGGGGGGTGGGGGGCGGGGGGGTGCAGCTTGGGGAGGGACAGCGCTACGATGTGACACTTGACCCCAGGCCCTAGGTGGTCTCTGTCTCCTTCCAGTAAAACAACAAGCACGCTGCTTGGGCCCCACAGCTCATCAGTGTCACACTTTCCAAGGACAGAACCCCAAAAACAGCCAGCAGGCACACCTGCACTACCCCCGGAGTCATGTCTCTTGCAAGGAGCGTGCAGCTGCGGTAAGACATTTTGTGTGTGTTACAATTATTCCTCAAGTAATAGATGGTCATTTCGGAAGACAAGAAATTAAAGAAGAAAAAGCGAAAGACATCAAGGTCTCCTGTCCAACCACTAAGAGACAACACTTTGGGACTTGTGTCCCTACAGTCTGTTTTCTTATTCCTATCTCTATGTCCCCCTAGAACCACATCTAAATGCAGGAAGGATGTATCTATCCTTCTAACCATATGTGTTTTGTTTTTTTTTTTAAGTAAAAATAGGATTTTGTTTCTTTCACATAATTATTTTTTTAAGATTTTATTTATTTATTTGACAGACAGATCTCAAGTAGGTGGAGAGGCAGGCAGAGAGAGAGGGGGAAGCAGGCTCCCCACTGAGCTCGATCCTGGGACCCTGGGACTATGACCTGAGCTGAAGGCAGAGACTTTAACCCACCGAGCCATCCAGGCGTCCCTCTTTCACATAATTTTTTTAAAAATTCTTATTATACTCTAAAAAGCTATTTAATGAATACACAGAGCAAATACATGTTGTAAAGGCTAACAGTATGGTGAGTACCTATAAGCCCACCACCTACCTGAGACTATGTTCTGTAACCTTTTCTTCCATTTAATTTTAATTAAATACTGTGGAAGTTTTTCTTCAGCAAGATAGTTCACACACTCACTTTTTAAATCATTACATACTAATTATATATTAAAAGTATATATGAAATATACATATTTATTATATATTAAAATATATGCAGATGGGTTTAAAAGTTAAAGGGTATCGAAAAGCTGATGATAAAACACAACATCCCTGGCCCAGCCTCCCCCACCACTGCCTGCTTTCCAGAGAAGGCAGCTTTTAACTTTTGAGTTGTTTCTGTGGACAGTTCCCCACCCCAATAACCTCTAGAAAATCTGCAAGGTCATCTATTTTCAAATAGAGCCCTTTAGATACCGTGTAACTGTAACGACCTCCTATTCTGCCGGAACCCTAGGCGTTCCCTCTGCCCTTCCCCGCCACAGTCACCAACAGTCGGTGTTGACATCATTCCCAACCATTCACCGGAGGGCCACACTGACGATGAGGAGTCCGCTTCCTTCCTGGAATAACTTTTTGCCTTTTCTGGAATCCAGTGCCACTTTATGTGTCCCGTCCAGGACTACTCATCTCCATGAAGATCCCGGTTTTCCCAAACGCCCTACTGGATGTGCCGCCCACCTATCCTTGCTTCCTTCCCAGGGTCAGGGCTCATATTCTATGGCTTCAGCCCCGTCCCCCAGGAGACCCCTTTCCTGGATGCCCTTACCGTCCCGAGCCCGCCCAGGGGAGCCTCTCACCAGGGCTCCACTCAGCTGTCACTCTGGGGCAGTGGTTTTCCGCGGATGGCGATTTCGCCTCAAAGGAGCCATCTGGTGATGTCTGGGGACGTTTTTGGTTGAAACCACTGGAAGAGGGGCACCGCTGGTATCTAGTGGGGGGGACTAACAATGCTGCCAAACCTCCTAGAGGGCCCAGGCTGGGCCCCCCAGAACCCAGAATTCCCTAGTTCCAAAGATCAATAGTGCCAACTTGGAGGAATCTTGCTCTGATGAATCTTGGATTCATCATTCTGGGCCCAAATCACCATCTTAATCTGCTGTGTAGTTTGCCTTTTTTAAACAGCTTCACTGAGACATAATTCCCATACCCTAAAATTCACCCACTTAACGGGTACAATTTCATGGTTGTTAGTACATTCGCGGAGTTGTCCAACCCTCCTCCCGATCCACTTTAGAATATTTTTAGCCCCTCCTCCCCAAACGGCCCCGTATTCCCTTTTCCCCTCAACACACGCCCTCCTGCAGCCCTGGGAAACCACTAGTCTATGCTCAGTCTCTCCAGACCTGCCTGTTCTGGGCATTTCATGTAAAATGGGGTCACACAGAGCGTGGGCCTTTGCATCTGGCTTCCTTCGCTGAGCATCATGCTCTCAAGGTCCAAGGACAGCGTGCCATGGGTCGGCACTCTGTTTCTTTTTACTGCGGACTACTATCCCACTGTATGCAGAGGCTCCATTGCGTTTATCCGCTCACCAGGTGGCGGATCACCTCACTCTTTACCAGCTGCCTGGCGCCCCATTTACGGGTGTGAGGTTAGTGACCCTCTTCCCCGCCAGGAGGTATGAGAGTCGTTACTAACTTTCCACAGTTATAAAAAGCGGACGGGTGGGTGGAACCGTTCAGAGGACAGAAGTCCACATTGTGCCGACGCACAGGGGGGTTCTGCGTTAGTGTTCCGTTTTTCCTCAATGAAAATGGAGTTCTCCCCGAACGCCTCCCTCTGCCTGGGAGGCCCACCCTGCCCCCTGCCCGGAGGCGGTTACTTACTCCTCATCGGTCTGCACACAGTTATCAAGTTCAATCACGTGGCTCCCAATGAACCAGACCAAATTGGAGAAGTAAGGAACAGCAGTTTTATCTCGGATATAATGCAGCATGGCCTGGTTATCCACTGAGAAAATCCACAAAAGAAGAAGGAGGGGGGGAAAAAAAAAGTCAAGCTACCAAAAATAACTGGGGGAGATTAAAAAAAAACAAAACAAAACACCAAAACCACAATGAAAAAGCTCTCTGCTATAATCTGAACCTTTTCTGTCTTTCCTGGGAACACTTGAAAAATGGTTATCATATTCGTGAAACCATACACATCAAGGCAGTTCTTATGCTATTTTTATAGTTAATAAAATGAATTAATTGGGCTAAACATTAATAGTGCAATCAGAAAGCCCACTTATCAGCAGTGCATTTAGAGTACAATGGAAACTACGCCATTCTCAGGCAAGTTTCCTTTATTTACATGTAAGGATAAGTTAAGAAAGCGGAAAACCAGAAGTTAATAACTTACATGACACTGGAATAAGGAACACGGGAATCGTCATTGAAGGAAAGGCAAAAAACAGACAACAGTTAACAGGGTTAGGAACTGGGATGGTGAGACAGCTGCTCAGAAGGACAGAGGGCTAGGGCAGGAGGCATCTAAAGATAGGGGCTGGAAGAAAACAAGAGAAAGGAGCGAGCAGGGGCGGCAGAACTGGGGCTCAGACCAGGGCACAGACTCAGCAGCCCGCTGGGTGGGCTGGTGACTCAGTGAGTGAGGCCGGGCGACCCTCCCCCGCTTGTGAACTAGGGAGCCTGGGCCTCAGCCCCAGGAAGAGGCGCTGTTTCTCAGTGCTGGCCCACCACTGCCCTACAAGACTGTGGGCCAAGAGCAGCCAAGTCTCTACTTTCAAGTCAGAAATCCAGAAAGTGACCCAAGATCTCCCCGTGTTTAAATACTGGCAACTCTGTATCTTTTCAAGGAATACCTAAGCTAATCAAAACACATCTGAGGGCTGGATCCAGCTCTCCAGCCCTCAGTTTGCGACCCTGGGCGTGCAGGCCCGGCGGGGTGCGGCGGGGGGGGGGGGGGGGGGGGGGAGTCCTCCAGGCTCTTGGGCTCCTCAATTTAAAGCAATCCCAGAACCAGGCTGGAGTGAGTCCCTGAGGAGTTCCCCTCACCCCAAATAGGGGTCATCTCAAGTAATAACATCATGACTCATAACCCGTGAAGGTCAAAACCCTTTAAGTCCTTGAAAATATAGAGTCCCGGCTCCAGTGCGGTGACTCCGGAGGGAATAACCCCAGTGTCAGGCAGAGAAGGCGTGCCCTCGGAGGGCAGTTCCAGGCCAGGAAACTTGTGTCCAGCCAGCCTTTGTGCCAAGATGTACGGGAACCAGTGCAAGGGTTTTCTCCCGGAGGCGAAGTTTTGGGAACTAAGTACATCTTGACAAAAGGGGAATTTGCTGGGCTTTGCAGTTGAGAAGACAATGCTGCCCTCTGCCGTTCATGACATGAAATACTTCTATACATTATTTAAAGATCCCATAACCCCCAGCTGTATTTAAGTACATTTTACAGCCTGCAACACAAAAATGTAAATATAACATTTAGAAAACAACTAGGCTTTATCTAAGTATCACATGGCTGCTTGGAGTCCCACATGTGCCTTTCTTAGGACCTTACTACTACCGTGTGTCTGTACGGAGACTTCGACATGCAGAACTGAGTGCAGGCAAAGGCAGTGGCACAAAACTTCACGGAAGGGGCCTGTTAAATGTTCCATGACTATAAGTCTTTCATGAGACATGCAACCCCAGCTGTCATACAGGAGCTCCTGGCCACCACCGGAGAACTGCGTATACAGACTCATGACAGCAAATCCCAGCCGTCAAGTTAGAATCAGATGAGGTGTGAGCGCCCAAGGAAGCTTACCTTTGTAGACATTCAAAGTTATGGTTCTTACAGCAATTCTAACCATGCTTTCAGGATGATTGAAAAACTTGATGGCTTCTGTGTACAGGGCAAAGTCATTGGTGTGCTAAAACAAAAGGAGTACCAAAAACAGGTTACAAGCCCATAGGGCAGGACTCCCCCCACCCAGCTTCCTGAATCCTAATAGACTTCTGCAAAAAATGAAAAAAATATTTTCCCCCTTGACCCTTAAGCCAGTGGTTCATTCCCAGTGGCGAATGCGGGAAGGAATGGAGAGGCAAGACTATCCCAGAACAAATAGAAGAAAGGGTCCTGACAATGCCAGACCTGGGCTTGTCGTCTGTCCTGCCACTCTGCAGCTGTGTGCTGGGTTCTAATATTTCTAAGCCTCTGAGCCTTCGTCTATAAAATGGGGATAACAATTCCCAGTTCACAGCTGCTAGGAATCCCTGAGATGACCGCAGGGGCCGGGGCCTACACCTAACAAGTGCTCAGCAATAAGGCTGGTTGTTACTATTAAAGGCCACTTAAACTAATGAAGGGCCAGTGTGAAGTTTTACGACATTTGGAATCTCTTCTGGTTAGGACACGTTTCTCTATTTAGAAACACTAAAAGTAGACACATTACCATAGAGGAGGAGGGTTTAGGGGAATCTGCTGGCATTAAAAAGATACCATCAGAAGGGATCAAAACAGTTCAGAAGCAGAGAAATGCTCTGTCGGGGCCTTGAGAAAAAAGTAGGATGGCATCTGGGCCTAGAGCCACATGAGGCGAGCTCTGCTGCCCTCTCCTGGCCAGTTTTCCCACACGGCTCTGCATCCCCGCTCCAAGGGCACCCACCGGCAGTGAGGGCGTGGGGAAGAGGCACCCGCCAACCCCCCGCAAGGAGACATCTGTCTAATGAGGACAATGCTACTGGGAGCACCAGACGTGTGCCCTTAGCAAGTGGCAGCTACAGCACTGGAAATATACAAGAGGGGACTGGGCCCACCTCCGGTGACCAGCAGGATGTTCTTCCAAAAGCACTGCCCTGGTCCCAGAATCTCAGGGTCCCATCCCAGTGTACACAAGCCCAGGCTGCCCCTGAGTAGCGGTACCTCTCTCTGGTCTGAATTTCATCTACCTGGGAGAGCCTCTGGCAAAGATCATCGACATGTCCCCGGACACGAGCACCTACAATCTGCCAGATACTGGGCCACAGGATGGTAATTTTTCAAACTGCCACACATTTTGTGGTTGTTGGTGATGACTCATAATTCCTCCCTCTGAGCCCAGGTCTTCCCCACTCCTAATCTAGACAAGGAAGATCAAGGTTCAGGCTGCTCTCACCTCATCCCATGGGGACAGCTGGATGGATTTCGCCCACACTTAAACGGTAGGATTCAGAGGAAGGTATGACTCTAGAGCGGGGCTGGGCGGCGTACATGACCACCAATCAGAAAACAGCTGCCATGCAGACAGCATGGGGCCATGTCGCAGCCCATCTCCAGGCTGGCCCAGTGACCATCACCGCCTGTATTCACGTGCTGTCATCCTCTCTCACACCCAGTCAGAGCCCACCAGTGTGACCTAAATAATATGGCAGGAAAGACAGTGTGTGGCCTCTGAGGCCTGGTCACAAAAGCTTGTCTTGGTCTCTTGGATCACTTGTTCCGGGAAAAGCCAGCTGCTGTGCCATGAAGGCGCTCAAGCAGCCCCCACAGAAGCCTATGGAACTGAGGCCTCCTGCCAACAGCCATAGGAATGAGCCACCTTGGAAGCAGATCCCCCCGCCCCATCCAGCCTTCACATCCAGTCTTGTGAAAGACGGAGCAGAGCTGTCCTGCGAGGCTGCTCCCAAATTCCTGACACCCCACGGGGGAGATGGGGCCTAATTCTGACCAGGAAGACACAAGAGGAAGTCTGCTGGGGGGGGCCTTCTGGGAAAGAAGTGTTTTTGGAAGTTAAAAAGGAACACAAGAAGGGAAGCGATCTCCTCAGGACTTGTGGCAGTGGTGTGTATGTGATGTTCGGAGCTGCTGCAGCCATCCTGAGGCCATGAGGGGTTGCCCCTGAGGACAGCTGCCAACTGTATGGTCAGCAGAACAGGCAGATAGATCAACAGCCTGTGTGTCCTCAATGAAGCGGTTGAGCCACAGGATGAACCAACCCCAGGAGAGCCAGCATCAGTACCTTTTGGTATGTGAGATCAACGGACCTTATCAAGTTCCTTTTCACTGTGAAAACAGCAACAATTTATTTACTGAAATTGCTAGTAATTCTCCCAAGGAATACCAGGGACCTTAGCTTGTGAAGGACAGCAGTCGGTGTGATTTTAAAGAGTCTGGTACATACTAGGGACTTTGAAGACATCATCTCATTTCATTCAACCCCTGGAAAATCCTGCAAAGTGTAGATGATCATCTCCTTTCACAGATGAGAAGACTCAGGCTCAGAGGATGGAGACCTCTCTGAGGTCACACAGCAGGGACGTGGCAAAGCCAGGGCTAACCACAGTGCCGGTTTTTCCCGCGGGGCAGCACAACCCCGAGTTAACTTTCAGGCACTTCTCCCTGCCGAGAATGCAATGCTCTCGGGTAGCACAAACTGATTTTTACATTCAAAACAGAGGTGACTTTTAAATTAAAAATAATAATAATAATAATAATAATAATAATAATTTTTTTTTTAAGCAGGTAAAGGTCTAACAGTGTCATTATGAAAATCAGGTAACAGTGAGCACACAAGTGCTTTGTCAAACAGACATGAGGCCACCCAGCCCAAAGGTGCCACTCTGACCGGCTAGCTTGACGCCCCAATGCATGGTACCTTTCTGGAACTCACTTACCTCATTGTAAAAGAAATGGACGGTGTGGTTGTTGAGTTTTAACGAAAGTGTTTTCAGGAATGATATATAATATGCCATAATCTCTTCATCAGAAAAATCAAACTTATGGACAATGATAGAATTTACATAGTTATTAGAGAGCAAATAATCTGGAGGGAGGGGGAAAAAAAACAAAACACAAAGCAAAACAGGTTAATTCCTGCCAGAGGAAAGCCAAGCAGAGAGAGTCAGCTAACAGAGGACTGACTGTGCTCGAAGCCATCAAGCCTCTGGGTCTCTGGGGTTTTAACAGGCCAACTGGGACCAGCCTCACCCTTAGGCAGCACAGAAATCAGGCAGTCGCTAGGTGCAGCCTCAAGCAAGTTCAAGAGCCAAGGGAGAAAAAGACCCAGGCTACCCCTCCCTCCTACACCAAACAGAAAAATCCTTAGAACACTTTTGTCCTTGGTGACGAAGTTCAACATAGAGCTGGGGGTAGGGAAGACGTGTGGGCATTTTCACAAACCACCCACAGATGAGGGGAAAACACTGTATTTGATGAAAAGTTGCCCCATGTTGGCAGCAAGAGTCATACTGCCAACCCTGAATGCTAAAAGGGCTATGGGACTTTTTTCTCCCCATACAGTAAGGTGATTCCCTAAAAGCCACTTGATGCAGAATCCCTCCCACACGCCCAGGACCAGGCTCAGGGCTTTACATGGTCACCACAACGATCCGATCCAGCCCAGCAGGTCTCGCTCTCCCCATTTTGCAGAGAAGTTTAAAAAAAAAATTCAGAGAGGCTGATTAACTTTGCAGAGGTCACACAGACCGTTAGTCCCAGAGCTGGGATTGCAAGTCAGGTGCTAGGAGAAAGCGTGTGTCAATGTCATGCATAATGGGGCCCAATAATGAAGATTGGGTGGCAAGGGCCTAAAGTACGGGAGCCAACTACAGAACGGCCACCACCCCCCCAAATCCCCAGCCCCTGCAGAAATGCAGGCCCAGCACCGGGGGGAGCCTCCAGCTATGCGAGGGAAGCTGGAAGACATCCGAAGGCTGCATCCCGACTGCAATGGTGGCCATGCGACCAGCTAGTTTTTCATGCCGGACGGCAGGCTGCAACCTAGGGGCCTGTAGTTCGTGATCCAAGCCTTAGGTCCTTTCCAAACAAGACTCTGAGTCCTCCCCAGCCACCCTGCAAAGCAGGCGCTGCTCCCCCTACTGTGGGCTGCCAGCCCGTGAGCTCTGCACCGTCCCACCTTCGCTGCCCTCCATGGTTAAAGACAGAATGGGATCGACAACCGAACCTGCAGGCACACAGGGTTAAAGCGGTGCAGCTCGGTGGCTGGGAGCCTGGCTACTGACCTGCAGCCCAGCATCACCTGGAGCTCATCAGACACAGGCATCTTGGGCCCCAGCCCCATGCCCTGACTCAGATCTCTGTGGTGGACTCAGTACGCTCCACATGCTAAGGAGCTCCACTCATGGGGTGCCTGGGTGGCTCAGTCAGTAAAGCCTCTGCCTTTGGCTCAGATTGTGATCCCAGGGTCCTGGGATCGAGCCCTGCATGGGGCTCCCTGCTTAGTGGGGAACCTGCTTCTCCCTCTCCTCCCTGCTTACGTTCGAGCTCGTGCTCTCTCTCTCTCAAATAAAATCTTTACCCAAAAAAGGGGGGGCGCTCGTATTTCAGAGGCCTCACGTTTGAAGGGGGCTTAGATCCACGCTACCCCTGCCACTTCCTAGCCGGTGACCCTGGAAAAGCCACTCACCCGCCCCACTCTCCAGTCCCCTTATCTAAAAACAGGAGTAACAGTACCTTCTCCTTGGTCTGCTGTGAGAGTTAAAGAAGACGGAGCACTAAGGACAGCGAGGGGCACAAAGCAAGCATACCGTGATGGCAGCTGCCACCGTTCCTTGTAGTGCTACCCACTACAGTGCTCCCAATTTCCAACACGGGCCCTCCAGCCCCCAGGACTGAGCACGCTTGCTCTCAAGGGGGACAGGAAACAGACCATTACTTGGTTCCAAGGAGGTACCCAACCTAAACCAAAGTACAGCTCAAAAGGCTGACATCACCAAACGTACCCCGAGGAGCCTTCCAGGAGCCTGGCGTGCTGAGAGGGGCCAACAGGGCCCACCACTGGGTCGTCCTCAGAGCCAGCCCTCAGGAAAGCCACTGCCTTCGGGAAAGCACGCTGGGTGTTCCTGGCTTTACACACAGGCCCTGCAGTCTGTCGTCTTAGCACGGTTTTCAGTACCTCCTGATTCTGACAGAGGCAAATTGCTCCTGAGGCAAATCATGGGGCTCTAAGAGAGGAGGCAGTGGATCTGGGCTGGGGGGTCCTGAGAATCTTAATTGACTTAACTGTTTAAAAATGACACTACGCGTATCACAACTCTTCCATGTATAGCTGGATATGTGCGGGAACGTACAGAGAGGTGAACCTTAAATCCAAGTACCTGGGTACTTTTATGTATATAAATACAGTCTGTGCATATATGCACACATAAATAAGTATATATATGTATGTGTATATGTAGGTATATACATGCACACACATTTACACACTACAAATCTTAGGTGTCCAGCTTGATGAACTTCTGCAAACACAGCCACCACGTAAGGACCATCCAGATCAGAGAGAACACGTGTCTAGCTCCGCAGAAGCCCCCGATCGGCCAGCCGATCCCCTCCCCCTGCCCACAAGCCCTGGTTTGACTCGGATCACACAGACGCGTGTCGCGGGTTCCACAGCTCCGTAATCACGGACCGTCACGGACAAGCTTCTCATGCCTGGCCGCTCTCACCAGTCACATCTGAGAGGTGCCCGCATTGCCTCACGCAGCGGGGCACGAACTCACTCCTTTCCTCCATTTGGCTACGAAGTGTTCTATTTGCACAGTCCACAACCTACCCGCCTAGATTCTTAGCTTGTCACAAGCAGCCCAGGTGATGCTGAGGCCTGGAGCCCTTCTTCCCTGTTCTGTCCTTCCGGCTGTGGCTGGGGATGAATGAGCTGGCAGGAGGACAGACTACGGTGATGTCACGGGGAGCCCCACTGTGACCGGTTGGTGGCTTCCGGGCCACCAGAGACAGATGCTGCTGCTGGCAGCTTCAGACTACAACCACAAGCCTCCGGGCTGCACTCGAGCTGGAAAAGCCGCACACTCCCATCATTCCCCGGCGGGGACTTTTCCAGGGCCTCCACACGATGACTCTGTGGGTGGTGAGGGCCACCGTGGGGGCAGCCGAGGTGCCTCTATTATTGGGCTGGGATTTTTCGCCTACCCCCTCCCTGGGTGGCCAACTTTCTGTGGTATCCTTTTCTCAATCCAGGAGTCTCTAAGTAATCTCAGTCCCTTGGGCCCTCCGTGACTTAGGTCACCAAAATCGACAGGCAACAGGTGCACTCGTGAAATGGCTGCTGGTAATAATGAAAACCCGGAAACCACCTTGAGGCCCGTGGGCAGGTTGAAGAACGCAGGGCTCAGCAAGACGCAGCCGGGGAGCCCCACTAGGTGGGGGCACGTGAATGGGCTGCACGAAAATCTAAGATACAGCAGCAAGTGGGGAAAACGGAAAACAAATGGCAAAAAGCTCTGTGTCCACTGAACCGTGAGGGAGACGCTCGGTGGAACTTTTGTTTTCTATATTCTCGTACCGTTTGATTTTTTTGTTGTTTTAGAATGAGGACGTTTTCTTCCTATGACTGGAAGATAAAAATAAAAGCCAAAGTCACGTGTCCTCCTCACCCACCCCAGATCGAAGTGCTGTAAAAGGCGGTGATGTGTGCCACTTCCGCAGGGTTTAGGAAAGTGCTCTGGTGAGTCCTCCCTAAAGACAGCGGCGTGTGCCTGCGTTTCTTACAGCACGGCCCCCTTTTCCAGTCCTAATTCAAGAAGAGCCATGTGATCCAGAAACTCCAGCATTTCCTACCGTCCCAACTACCGAGGCTAGCTGGGCTGAGGCAGGGTTACCCGAGAACAGACATTGGGGGGAACACTGGATTTCAGGATAAAAGCAGCTCGAGGGGCACCTGGGTGGCTCAGTGGGTTAAAGTCTCTGCCTTCAGCTCGGGTCATGATCCCAGGGTCCTGGGATCGAGTCCGCATCGGGTTCTCTGCTCAGCAGGGAGCCTGCCTCCCCCCTCTCTCTCTGCCTGCCTCTGCCTACTTGTGATCTCTCACTGTCAAATAAATAAATATTTAAAAAAAAAAAAAAAGGGGCAGCTCAAGTGGACGCCTCCACCCGTGAGACCCCAGGCTCCGTTCTGCACAGCCACTGTCACGCCGAACCCTCACACCACCACGTTCCCCAGATACGAAGATCATCTCCACTTCACAGAAGCAGAAGCTGCAGCTGAGAGCCGAGAGTCCACCCCCGGAGCACATGCAAGGCCGATGTGGCAGAGCAGGGCCTGGGACCTGGTGGGTCGGAGTCCAGGGCCTGCACCCCTGAGCTGGGTCTTCCCCGCTCGGAGTTTTCAGAAACCGCACACAATTCATATCCAGGGTAACAAAAGTTGTTAACACGGGAAACCACTTAGGGAGAGTGAGTCAACTCGTACGTGTCAACCTGCGCTCGTCGGGAAGCGTGAGCAGACTCCTGGGACGGCAGCGCCACCTAGTGGCCGCTCCCGGAGCCGCCATGCACAGCCCTTCCCTGCCTCTCCCTGCTTCCTCCTGAGGGGGAATGCGGCTATCTCTACCCCTACCTCCATCTCTACCTCCTTCCACCCCCAGAAACTTTTTCTAAACCTAGAGACCTAGAGCCTGCCTTTGACACAGACATTCAGTCACTTGTCTTCTTTTCCCTGCTCCCGGCAGGCAGGGCCTGGGACCTGCGTAGTCGTCTTAGAGTAATAAAGCTGAGGTCAAGCGGCGAGGAAAAGGAGCTAACCAGGTTTCTTGCCCCTGGCTCTGCTGACATTGGGGGCTAGATAATCCTTTACTGTGGGGGGCTGTCCTGTGCGTTGTTTGATGTTCAGCAGCACCCCTGGGCTCTACCCACCAGATGCCAACAGCACCCCCCACCACCCACCACAACCAAGAATGTCCACAGGCACAGACCAATGCCCTCCGGGGGCACAACCGCGCCCAGCTGTGGACCACTGAACTACCTCAGCTGGGCTGAAGGCCCTTCTGGATTCTGGCCTGGCTAGAGCGGTCCCCACGGGCTATGGAATGGAACTCCCTGGGCACTAAACGGACAGCACCTGCCTCGCAGGGCGGCTGTTTCAGATAAAGAGCTCAGGCTTGGTGAGGGCAGAGAAGTCGCTCAGGAGCCGCATCCTTGCCCCCCAGGCAGGTCAGCTGCCAAAGCCCACCCCTTGCACGCCCCTGGGCCATTCTTCCTTGCCCTGCTTCTTCTAGAGCTTACTCCATTGGCTAATGATTCAGCGACCCCAGCAAATTATAAAGAAAAATGCAAACAGCCCAGAATCACAGAGCAGAGGGGAGTCCCCGCAGCCCTTCATGGTCTGGCAGCAGGCAGGCATAAACAGTGTTATGGACCAAACTGCATGATATAACCATTCACGCTGGGAAGCCCTACTGCTGTGAGTGTATTTAGAGAGAGCGGCCTTAAGGAGGTAATTAAGGTTAAACAAGGTCCTAGGATGGGCCCCTGATCAAAGACTCCTGTCCTAAGAAGAGGAAAAGACACCAGAACTTTCTCTCCATGCACACACATGAAAAGATAGGCCACACCAGAAACAAGGCGGCCGACAGTCATCTACAGACCAGGAAAGAAAGGCCTCACCAGACACCGCCCCTGATGGCACCTAGATCTTGGACTTCAAACCTCAGGAACTCTGACAAAGTCAGTTTCCGTGGTCTCGGCCCCCAGTCTAGGACATTTTGTTACAGAGGCCCAAGCACACAGATACAGACAGGAAGCAGAGACACGCAAAAGGCAACATCCACGCCGGGCCCCCCGCTGCCAGAGCTCAGCGGGGGTAGGGCAAGGGCCAAACATTGTCCTTACACAGGGAGGTCTCGTGACTGATATTCTCGAAGAGGATGTTCAGGGTCTGCAGCAGCTGAACGCACACATAGCGGCCTGACTTCTGCCGCAGGATGTTCAGGAAGAAAACAAACATGTTCTTCTCCAGGAAGAAGCTGGGGAGAGAACAGGAAGGTGTCAGTGATCTGCTTTCACACGTGCAAATACACATCATCTGCTGACCACATGCGCAGCACAGGGGCGCGGACCGCCCCGGACCCCCAGAGGCATCTGCAAGGCCCCAGCTTCCCAGCGGATACCATCATCCCCCACAGCTAAAGGCGGGCTCTCGCACTCTCTCCCTGCAATGAGAGCGCAGCACTGATCAGCGGAAGCAGAAAGGGGAAGATCTCTACGTGCTAAATGATGACGCAGTTACCTACTTGAGCTGAGAAACCCGCCAGGCCGCTTTTCCCATCCAATATTCTCTTTTCTTAGTTTTTCTTACTAGGTCTCTTTCCTTTACTTTCCTATCTTTGCATGTTAAACAGCACCACCTAGAATTACCTACAAAGACTCAAGATAATGCTAATAAGAGTTTCCAAATCTGGGGGGAAAGAACTGGAAGGGACTGAAGGGGCTGGGGGGCTATCCAGACCCCAGGTCAGCTTCTGCCTCTCTTGTTCTAGACAGGACATCTGTCCACAAGCAGCCTGGGGACATGGACTTTTGTGGGTACGTGCTGGCTCTTTCAGTCTTGCAATGGAGACAGAACCCCTGATGCCTTTCTTAAAAGGCAGAAAATGGTGTTTTCTAGTTATGTGTTCTCAATGTGCCAGCTAAGACCAGGTAACTGCTCATCTCGGTGACTCAGAACAGGTCCCTGCAGTGATGAGTGTCTGTCACTTGGTTCCGGGGCTGGGGGTGGGTCTCTCTCCCCTCGGCTGTCAGCTCCACGGTGGCAGGATCATGGGCCTGGCTCTCGCTCAGTGCTGCATAACTTCTGTTTGAATTCATGAAAAGGTAATTGAATAAGCAAACCAGAAAAACACGAACGCAAACCTTTTCCAATTCTGATTCTGGGAGCCTGCCTACCTACAAAAGCCATGCACGCTGACCCTCAGAACATGGCTATCATTTGACCTATTTTGTCTTCCTTCGCTTCAGGCTGAAGAAATCAGTGACTTGCAAGCACACCCCAGCAAGCTCACTGCGGCACCACGGCCAACCTGGGAACTTGTTAAAATGTCTGTATCGAGATCTGGCCCACACGGGCAGATTCTGCAGGTCTAGTGCGAAATCCAGGAGCCTGGATTTTTAAAAACTCCCTAGAGGAGGGAGGGGTTCCTTGGAAAAATGGCTAATTCTAGATCTGTGGCACGGAAAACACAAGAGGAGCGTGCCTCATCTTAGAGTGCAGGAAAGTAAGGAAGTGCTCAAAAAAACCAGAAGGATGGGGTGTGGCAAGAGACACAGGACCCCTAAGCCCAGAGACGGACCTGGAACAACACAAAAAATAGCACAGTACGGGATCACAAAGTCTACCACAGTATTGTGTTGTAATTTAGTATTAGTAACACAATGTTTAATAACAGTACTGGATCCACCGTCTACTTCAGTCCAAAGCATAGAACAAACATCCACAAGCCCATATTAATACAAGTAAATGACTAGAAAAATAAACAGGGAGAGGAGACAAGTCTTCCATGCAGAAGAATTTCAAATAATGTATGTAGATGCTCACCACCCCCTTCTAGAAGGTAGAGCTAAATTCCCCCACCCCCAAGTGGGCTAAACTGAGTGACTGTCTTTCAAAGAATAGTGCAGGGAAAGGGGAGAGGAGTAGCTTTAAGGCATAAAAACCTGGCCGGACACCACCTTAAGCAAGAGATCGGATTAACCTCACCAGAGAGCAGGGGGATATCTTGACTGTTGATACTGTGGGATGAGAAGCGCACTGCCCCTCTGTGTGGTCTTCTCCCCCACAACCCCCCTGGCTAATCCTGAGAAAGGCATCAAAGAAACCCAGACGGGGGCAGGGGGCTTTCTACAGGACCCTTGACCAGGACTTCTCAAAACCATCAAGCTCAGGAAAACAAGGCTGAAAATTTGTCACAGCTGGCAGAGGCCAGGCAGATGTGACAACTAAATGCACTGTGGGATCTGGGTTGTGTTCCGAGAGCAGCAAGGGGATCTGCATGGGAAAACTGGCAAAATCCAAATAGAGTCTGGAGTTTACTTAGCTTAGCACGAACACATCAGGGCTGGCTTCTCTGCTTCCACAAATGCACCCCAGTCAGATAAAACATTGACAGTGGCGGAAGACAGGGAGAGGGGTGTTTGAAAACTTTCTGTACCATCCTTGTGACCTTCCTATAAACCTAAAATTATTCTAAAATAAAGAAATGGATGAAAAATAAATTCTCGGGGCACCTGGGTGGCTCAGTGGGTTAAGCCTCTGCCTTCGGCTCAGGTCATGATCTCAGGGTCCTGGGATCCAGCCCCGCATGGGGCTCTCTGCTCAGCAGGGAGCCTACTTCCCTCTCCCCCTCTGCCTGCCTATTTGCCTACTTGTGATCTCTCTCTCTCTCTCTCTCTGTCAAATAAATAAATAAAATCTTAAAAAAAAAAAAAAGAAAAAGAAAAAGAAAAAGAAATTCTCCTGGGGACCCTATCAGGGAGCCATTTAGGAATCGCTGGGCTCAGCAGTTTTTCTGAGACAACAGATGGGCTCAGAAAGTCCACGCTAGTCAAAGGGGACACGGTTTCTAATCTTTAACCCAAAGGTCACTCACATTTCCAAAACACACACCAACCAACCAATCAATGCCCTGTGCATCCGCAAAGGAAGCCAGCAGCATTTGCAGACATCACCTCCCTCCTTACTCATGTTTTCCTTTGGGGAAAAGGCCAGTGTCACAGGTTTGCTTTTCCCAAAAATAGCTTTATCTTAGATAACCCTACTGATGAAAACAGAGAGCTAGCTGGAAAATCAGAATATCTAATAAGCCAGGCGGGAGACAGAACACCTTTATTTGTTTTAAACGGATTTTTTAAGTGGCCTCAATACTGAGAGTTGAGATTATTTTATATAAAAATAAAATCTGTGTTTGGTGGCTGTCATAACCCAGATCCCTCTGTACTCAGACATGGAGACAGGTATGCTGGGGCAGCAGTCCACAGCTTCCAGCTTTGGCTTTTGAACTGTCCCATAATGCAGATTTCTTTATAAATCATCATGGGCTAACAATTCTTGACTGCCTACTCTGTACCGGGCACTGGGCAGGAACTTTCTCTCTGAAGATGCAGAGGGGCACCTGGGGGGCTCAGTTGGTTGAGCATTTGACTCTTGATTTCGGCTCAGGTCACCATCTCAGGATGGTGAGACCCAGCCCTGCGTTCGGACTTCACCCTGAGCGGAGAGCCTGCTTAAGATTCTCTCTCTGCTCCTCCCCCCTTTAAAAAAATGAGGAGGGGCGCCTGGGTGGCTCAGTGGGTTAAGCCTCTACCTTCAGCTCAGGTCATGATCCCAGGGTCCTGGGATCGAGCCCTGCATCAGGCTCTCCACTCAGCGGGGAGCCTGCTTTCCCCTCTCTCTCTCTGCCTGCCTCTCTGCCTACTTGTAATCTCTATCAGATAAATAAATAAAATCTTAAAAAAAAAAAATTAGGAAACCAAGGCTGGCCTACGACTGCTCATCGAGGAAGTACACGAATGAGGAGAAGCCCCTTCGCGGCTTACCAGTGTGCGACCCTGAGCAGAAATGGTGATACTCAGGACACGAGGGCCCCCACCCCGGGGGGCAGTGGGGAGATTTAGATTATCTCATGGACAGCTCAGCACTGGGCCCAGCAGTAAACACAATAAAGATGAGCTCTTCGTGTCTCTCCAGGGCAAGGTCCCTCCAGTTCACTTAGAAGCTAACTTTTCTCCTTCCCTTGGGAAGACTGTCGGACACTATTGAGAAAATTATCCATCTTCTTTTCAGATTTTGGGACACTCATTTCCCTGAGGTTCCCACTGTCCGCTTACGTTTCTCCAGTGTTTCAAGGACATTTTCTATACAGATATAGATAGAAATCTGCACAAGACCCAAACGGGTGTCAAATCCTGACGTCATCGGCAATGACTCATGGCATACATTTGGGAGAATATTCAAAGGAAGCAGAGGCAAAAAATGAGAAACACGGGAAACCCTTACTCAAATACAGAGCTGTCATTTTGATCTCCCCAGATCAGGATCTCAGTGATGGAACGGATGGTCTCCACTAGTAGGTTCCGATTGTGTTCTGTGACTGTGGTGTTTTTGGTCAAGACATGATACAGATACCTGAAAAAAAAACAAAGAAAATTAAGGATTACCGACTGAAATACACGCCAGGCTCAATGACTACTGGTGACATTTTGGGGATAATCTGGCTGTGCTTTTTCAGATGTGGTTAGCCCAACTCTCACCCGGAGGAGAAACAACTCGCCACCCAAAAAAAAAAAAAAAAAAAATGGCAGACAACGCTGGGAAATGTTAACCGGACACACGCTGACCCAAACAGATGTGAGAGAATCATCGAGCTCTTGAAGACGGCCATCCTCAAGCGTCAGTGTGCGAGACACTCACCTAGACGGTTGGATAAAGTGGGCTACTGGAGCCCACCTGGAGACACAGAAACATCAGGACTCTCTAATGCTGGAGCAGCCACTGGAGACACATGGCCCAGGCTGAGCATCACGTATAAAACCCTCAGCCAGGCTGATGCGGAGGTTTGGAGAGACAGAGGCTCAGATTAGGGAGAGGAGATCGCAAAGCCGGTTGTTGGGGCAAAGATCACGTACAATCAAGACGATCCTTGGGGGGTCCCTGGGGGACTCAGTCGGTTAAGTGTCCAACTCCTGATTTTAGCTCGGGTAATGATCTCAGGGCTGTGGGATTGAACCCCATGTTGGGCTCCGTGCTTAGTTCGGAGTCTGGCCCTCTCCCTCTGCTCCTCCCCTGCTTGCGTGCACGCTCTCCCTCTCCCAAATCCTAAAATTAAAAAAAAGCAGCAGCAGCAGCAGCAGCAGCACCACCACCACCACCAGGTGGGGCAGTCAGTTTAAGCATCTCAGTCTGGGTTTCAGTGGAGGTCATGATCTCCCCGCTCTGTGCTCAGCAAGGAGTCTGCTTAAGACTCTAATCCTCCCTCTGTCCTACCCCCCACCACGCATGCCAACAGTGTCTCTCTCTAAGTAAGTAAGTCTTTAAAAAAAAAAAAAATCATAGGGCATCTGGGGTGGCTCAGTCGTTAAGTGTCTGTCTTCAGCTCAGGGCATGATCCCAGGGTCCTGGGATCAAGCCCTGCAACCGGCTCCCTGCTCAGCGGGAGGCCTGCTTCTCCCTCTCCAGCTCCCCCTGCTCGTGTTCCCTCTCTTGCTGTGTGTCTCTCTGTCACAAATAAAATCTTAAAAAAAAAGAAAAGAAAAAGACAACCCTTGGAATGCCCATTAGAACTCACAGCTCAAACAGAGTGGGTTACCTGCAGTTTAAGGCACTGACCTCCCCTGCCGGGTACCCACTATGAAGTGGGTCTGGGAGGCTACAGCACGGAGCCTCCCCCACCCAAATGCTCCTGGGAGGCCTCTGCTGCTCCGGACCTGTGCCTGCTGCTGGGGTAGAGCCAGGTGGACCCAGTCCCACCCTCCAGGCTCTACCGCTGTCAGGGCAACCGGAAGAATCACTGAGGCCCATCCTGGGTGGTGTGGGGACTAGAGTCTGGCCAGATGCCCCGGGAGTACCAACCGCACAGCTTTAAGAGCGTCCTTATAAAATGGCAAGACTTCCCTCTTTTCTATGGCGCAGTCCTGTTCCACTGTGTCTATACACCATTCATCTAGCGATGGGCACCTGGGCTCTGTTCCATAATCGGCCTGTTGTTGATAATGCTGCCCTAAATCTCGGGGTGCATGTATCCTTTCCAAGGAGACTAGAGGATGCGGACACCCCGGCTCCCAAAGGCGCTGCCGCCCCTCCCTCAGGGTCGTCCCTTCTTTTTTTTTTTTTCGTAAGATTTTACGTTTAAGTCATCTCTACACCAACATGGGGTTCGAACACACAACCCTGAGATCAAGAATCTCACCGACTGTGCCAGCCAGGCGCCCCCTCCCTTCAATATTTTTGTATCTGATGTGGATGAAGCTAGAGAGAGCACCAAGGGAACGAGGTCAGTCAGAGAAAGACAAATGCCCCAGGAATTCACTCCTACATGGAATTTAAACAACAAAACAAACCGGGGGAAAAAAGAGACGCAAACCAAGAAGCACACACTTAACTTTAGAAAACACACTGCTGGTTACCAGAAGGGAGGTGCGCGGCAGTGGAGGGGAGGGGTGACACAGGGGATGAACACAATTGCTAAATTCTACACCTGAAACTAGTTACACTGTTAACCAACTGGAATTTAAAGAAAAACTTGAAGAAACATGTAAAAGTAATAAAATAAAAAGACAGCATCTCCAGGGCCCACAGACTGACTTCAGCTGTCGTGGTTTGGGAGGAAAAGGGGGACACCAAGAGGGACTTGTTTGATGGCTACCTTCACTTTGGAGGTGCGGCTGATGAGAGCAAGGCAGGGGACCAGATAGGATCCTACCATCGAAAATCTCTAAAAATGGGTAGGGTGTAAAGACGCAGAACCTTGCAGATGGCACAGTAAGGCCTAACCCGCTTTGGGGGGGGGCGGTTTATTGAAAATTGTTGCTCTTTGTTACATTTTAAAGACAGAACAATGAGTCACTTAATGATTGAATCAAAGATTCATGCACCTTTCAACACAGTAACAGGAACAGCTCTCCAAATACAGAAATCTCCCGGACCTCTGTCCAAATCCACCAGCAGGGCTGCACGCGGGCATGGAGGCCAGCTCCCCGTGTACAGGCGCCTCCATGGCACCGAGGCACCCTGGATGATTTACAGGAGGACCCACTGGTAAATCTCTACCTCCACCTCCCCTCCCGTGCATTTTCCCCCAAGAAGTTCAAAGAGCGGAGTTTTCCCCGAATTGTGCTCCAAGGGTCCCCTGCATTAGAATCCCCCTTTCATTTGCGGATTCTAACTCCCCACCCCAGATGCACCCACCAAAGCTGACGTCTGGGCGCAGGGCCCCAAGTCTGCATTCTGAACCAGCTCCCACTAAGGTTTCAGTGTCGCGGCATTCACTCACCCTATGGCCGTCAGTGGCACTCGGCATGTCACCCACAGTGTGCCCCCTACCCTGCCGGACAGGCATCGTTGGCAGCTCGGGGGTGAGGGTAGGGGGAGGGCAGATCCTCCCCACTCCAGCATTTCCTTCTGGGGAGATGATGGCATCTACAGCACCCCACTAACACATTCCTGACCCAGTCAGAGAGGCCATGGCTTTTATGGCTCGGAAGACACACCCCCCCTCCCCAAAGAGGGATAGGAGGGCTTAAAAGTCTTTAGGACTAGGGGTGCCTGGGTGGCTCAGTGGGTTAAGCCTCTGCCTTCGGCTCAGGTCATGATCTCAGGGTCATGGGATTGAGTCCCACATGGGGCTCTCTGCTCAGCAGGGAACCTGCTTCTTCCTCTCTCTCTCTGCCTGCCTCTCTGCCTACTTGTGATTTCTGTCTGTCAAATAAATAAATAATCTTAAAAAAAAAAAAAAAGTCTTTAGGACCAGCCCTGACTTCTAACTCCTGGCATCTCTTGGGGATGGACGCCTGTGTTGAGAAGCGGGGCAGGTGTGCTCAACTAAGGATATGCAGGTGAATGAAAAGGCACTAGCCACCCACACGGGGGCAGGAGGTAGCTCCCTTCGTAAGGGCGCTCCCACCTCAGAGAACATGGAGAAGTGAAACCCACAGGGTCGTTTTGATCAAACGTGTAGTTTCAATACACCCATGCAAAGGAAGGAGAGTCAGAAGATTTATTCCTTACAAATCTCAGAAGCTGGGGGCCAGGGGTCCTGCGATGAGCCAGAGGATGGGCAGTTCTCCAGCCCTGGTCACGGGAGCAGGAGACAGCAGGATAGCAAGCACCTGTTACTGTGAAGTCTGTTTCACCTTGCAATTTTGACTTAGCATACATCTAGAACTGACTTTTCTGTGTATGGTGTAAGACACTGGCCAAAATTCACTTTCTCCATATGGAAATCTGCTTGATTCAGCATTATTTAATGAGAAGGTCCTGAATTCTCCAATGCACTCTAATGTCACCTCTGTCATTTCTTGAGGACTGCACGTGTGGAAACTCTTTCTGAATGCTCTAGTTCCAACGATCATGTATCTTTCTCCTGATATCACACTGATTATTGCAGATTTATGAGAAATCCTGCTGTGTGATAATGGAAGTCCTCCAACTTCTCCCCCTCTGTTTTTTCATTATTATATTGGCTATTCCTAGCCCTTTACAGTTCCATATGAATGTTAAAATCACCTTCTCAACTTTCACAAAAATTCGTGCTAAGATTTCTTTTAAGATTGCCCTAAATCTCTAGCTAAATATAGAGAGAACTGACATCTTTACAATAAGGTAACATGACATTTACATTTCTTTCAGTGTTGGCTGGATAGGGTCTGGCACATCTTTCACTAGATTTATTTGTAGGTAACTGATGGTTTTTTGTTTTTGTTTTTTTGATGCTGTTGTAAATCGTAGCATCCGAAATACTCATTTTCTAAATGTTTGCTGTTGGTAGATGCAAATACCCACCACATCTCAACCTCCAAATTTCTTTTTTTTTTTTTTTAAGATTTTATTTATTTAACAGAGAGAGAGGTCACAAGTAGGCAGAGAAGCAGGCAGAGGTGGGGTGGGAAGCAGGCTCCCTGCTGAGCAGAGAGCCCGATGTGGGGCTCGATCCCAGGACCCTGAGATCATGACCTGAGCCGAAGGCAGAGGCTTAACCCTCTGAGCTACCCAGGCACCCCTCAACCTCCAAATTTCTATGATGATTGTTCGTGCCCTTTGCCCATCTTTTCACGCCCACAATGCCCTAGCACACCATTTAAGGTAATGTTTTAGAAAGAAAGAAGAGGTACTCAATACATGTTTGCTTCAATGTACTGGGGGGAGGGGGGAGCTAAACGGATTAAGGTTTAATATTTTAATGTATCCATTTCCAGAGCTTTGGAAGATCAAGTAATTCAACTACCTAGAGATATTAATATAGTTTAATAACTTTCTGATTTTGAGGGTGACACTCATTTGAGGAAGGTTGGCTGCTTCAACAACAAAACAGAAATGCCAATTGTGCCACTGCCCAGAGATGAGCACTGATGGAATGTGATGGATTTCCTTGGGTCTCATCCTTTGTGGTGGGTATTCACGCTGTTGAGATT